TGCTTAACTTTGGTGATCGTATGGGAACAGGCGCTTCAACGAGATGTGCCTGTAAGCGTACAGGTTCTCATCTAAAGCTAGTAAAGGAAAGCCAGAAGGACGGACCAACTGTCAAATATACGAAGACAGAATGTATGGTTGTTAGCCAGAGAAAAGGCCCAATGGTGCGAACTATGAATAAGAGGTACCAACATCAAGCAGGAAGAGAAGTTGAAATATCTGGGACGTGTTTTAATAGAGGCTTGAATGTCTGAACCCCGTACGCGCATTGGATTTAGTCGGTTAAGTACTAGGCGTGATACATAATTTGGCGATTATGTCTCTTTCGATCCACGACTGACTAGGCAGAAGATTGTCCGCAGTAGTTTGCCGTTTCATTCCGCGGCAGATTGGTTGCCAATCAAGGCTATAGGACTCAATCTGTCCGGCTATTCAACCCATAGCTGAAGGGAGAAGAGATTGATTCATCCCTTTCCCAATGGTATTTGTGCGTAATTGAATGTAACAAATTCGAATGGAATTCGAACTCCTGTCCTCGGTATGACGATAGACTACATCCGGTAGCAAGGCTTCTGATCAGATGATTGTAGGTTTTAAGGAGCGTCAAACCACCTCTTAATTGCTGTTGTTCCCAAGTCCAGCCTAATCCGGGGGCCCAGCACCTGTTAGAGTCCCAGCTATGTGCAAATACTTAGTACCAAATTGAGGTTAAAACACTATGAAAATGTAAACATTTTTATAGTAAAAACGCCAGCAATACATTCTTCATATTAAGAAAATTATCAGCAATACAATTTTGTAAAAAAAAAAAAAATGCCAGTAATACATTAAAAAAAATACTAGCAATACATTTTTTGGTAAAAATAAAATACAAAAAAAAATACCAGCAATATATTCTTGAAAAAAAAGATTACCAGCAATACATTTTTTGGAAAAAAATACCAGCAATATATTCTTGAAAAAAAAGATTACCAGCAATACATTTTTTGGAAAAAAATACCAGCAATACAATTTTTAAAAAAAGAAATACCAGCGATACATTTTTTAACTGTCCTGGGTAAGACGATAAACTACATCCGCGTCCTGAGTATGACGATAAACTACATCCGCGTCCTGGGTAAGACGATAAACTACATCCGACAGCAAGGCCTCTGATCAGGAGGTTTTGAGGAGCCTGGAACTACCTCTTAATTGCTGGTGTTGCCAGGTCCACCCTGACCCGAGGTGGTAGCACCTAAAAGAGTCCCAGCTATGGGCAAATTGTTAACCCCCAAAATGGGATCAAAAACACTATGAAAGTGTAAAAATAGGTTTTAATACCATCAATACATTTTTGGTAAAATTATTACCAGCAGTACATTTTTGAAAAAGAAAAATATTACCTGCAATACATTTTTGAAAGAAAAAATATTACCAGCAATACATTTGTTTAAAAAAATATTACCAGCAATACATTTTTTTTTAAATATTACCTGCAATACATTTTTGAAAAAAAAATATATTACCAACAATACATTTTTGAGGAAAAAAAATATTGCCAACAATACATTTTTTAAAACAATATTACCAACAATAAAAATCTTGTCGTCATTAAATTACCCATTGAGTTTGATATGCCGTAAAATAAACCAAACCAATCCAATCTAAGCCATTTAAAAAAAAAAAAAAATGATAGCAATACATTTTTGATAAAAAATAAATAAAACGACCAGCAACATATTTTTCTAAAAAAATACCAGTTATACATTTTTGGAAAAAAGTAAGCAACGAGGAAGTTTTAAGGAAAAAGGTAACAAAAAGAACACCTCTCCTCAAAAAGAGACGGCTGAAATTTCTTGGATACATTAAGAAGAGAAGGGAGGGCTCTAAAAACTCTTACTAGGCATATTGAAAGTAAGAGAGATAGGGGATGGTGGTAGGTCACCTATCAGACGAGCTTGTGTGAATTGATGACGGAACGGGGGTAGGAGAATTTGGAAAGTTATAAACTCTATTTAGGTCCACTGGTGATAGGAAGTTGTGGAATGTCACGTACTGAAGGTGCCTAGAAGGATGAAAATTTCGAAATTCCAAATGATTCTCGAAATGTTGTGCTATGGTATTTCTTACAACGGTCTCAAAATAGAAAATTAATGTATGACATAAAGACTGTCGTTTCAAATGAATGTAAAATACTTTATTTGAAAAAAAAAATCTTTAAAAAATAAAACTTCTGTCTGGGATGAGTCATTATTTACATTATTTCAGTCGGATATAATATAGTCGAACCCACGTCTTTTGCACTGTTTCCAATGCATGACTCTTCCTACTCTATCATGCATTATTTTTTATGCTTCAGTTTGTTCAATATACAATGTAACCCGGATATAAGAGAGGTGTCGGGACCGGAGAAGAAGTCTCTTATATCCGGGTTTGGTCTAATTTATATACATTAACACAGGCTCTAATTTGGGACCAGAGAAAATCTCTCTTATATCCGGGTTTCTCTTATATCCGGGTCTAATTTATATACATTAACACAGGCTCTAATTTGGGACGAGAGAAAATCTCTCTTATATCCGAGTTTCTCTTATATCCGTGTCTGATTTATATACATTAACACGGGCTCTAATTTGGGACCAGAGAAAATCTCTCTTATATCCGGGTTTCTCTTATATTCGGGTTTATTATATCCGGGTTACACTGTATTACCGTTTTTTCTCCTTCTCAGCATTTAATATTTTTCTTTATTTTCTCAATTTTTAAGCTTGACAAAACCAAGTTCTGATGCATTTGTTCTGGGCTATGTTGATGAGTGATTGTGTTTCTTTTTTCAAGTTTCCTCTGTGTAGGATTTTTGGTTCACGATAATTTTTCTATCTATTAAATGATATTTTTCTTCTTTGTTCTTATTATTTCAGGATAAGCCAAGAAAAATAACATCCTCCTCAAATGATTCACACGATAGCATTTATGTTGGTCGGACACTTACATTACAACGCTGGATATAATTTCTAATGCTTTCCGTATCTTTGGCCTGTTAACACCGCTAAAAATTTCCAGTAATGCGAAGCACGGCCTCTTGGCCTCGACTGATCTCCGTCCTCTAATGTCTGTGTCCGCGAGAATGTGTGGAGCGTTCCTCATTGAACGATGTCCACATGAACGGCCGATAATGTCTTTGATTCAATATTTTCATCAAATGATTAGGTTAGATGAGTCAACTGATCAAGGTCAGCTAGTCACTTCTCTGGTCATGCCCAGGCGTTGTTTTTACTTGCTTCGCTTGGACCTTTGACCGACGATGCTGAACAGTATGGAAGGCCAGAAGCGAAGACTCAAATAGCAAGCTGACGCATACAATAGAAATAAAAGGCTATAAGCTAAACTTAACAGATTTTATGCTATTTCATTTATAGATTTGTAAGGCGGGTGAACTTCCATACATTTTGCTTTGTACAGTTAACACGCAGAGAACTGTGTAGATTTATGCACTCGGAAATATTTTATGTCGACAAAATATTTAAAAACTAAAAATAAAACATTATAAACGATATGTAATTCAAGTGAATTCCGATCGTTATTCTATTAAAATAACAACTACGAATTCTTGCCTGCATAGTTTATTTATTTAACTAGAATATTGGCTTGTTTGGAGAAAAGGATTATTTGTCTTTGTGCATTTGAGTCGCCGTTACACCGATGTTCTGTAGTGTCTGTTGCCTTTTCGGATTTGAAAAATTGTCTGAGTTCAGGACATGCACATTCCCTCTGTTACCCCGAGCTAGACAGGCCAACATACGTCCAGGATATATCAATAAACTATATCCAGCAGCAAAACGTGATCAGAAGGTTTCGAGGAGCGTGGAATAACCTCTAAATTGTTGTTGTTCCCAGGTCCACCCTAACCTGGGGTGGTAGCACCTCTTAGGGTCCCCACTATGGATAAATAGTCAACACCAACACTTGGCTTAAAAATACTAAAAGTATAGATTTAAAAAAATTAAAAGAATTACCAGCAATAGATTTTTGTAAAAAGAAAACACCACTCAAACTCCCAAGAATATTAAATTTCGGCATTAAATGGTTGTTGCTCAATATTCTTAGAGATGAAAAAGAAACCTGAAACGATAGAGATTTAGTTCTATTGACGGAAATATTCGCTGGAAATAACATAGGCAAAAGAAAATGCGGGGGTGGGTAAAGAGGACATTTTAGGAGACAATGAAACAAGGAAACTACTGCTAACAATACTGTGAGTGATTTTATTGAAATATTTCTCTATCAGCAATTGCTATGTCACAACGTTGATTCGTTTGCTATTTCATTTTATCAGCAATAAACCATTTACTATTTGTTGCTCTACCAGATTTATTCGGTCATAAAATATTACGTTATTCGAACTATCAGTCATTTTGAATGCAAGCGCGGCCATTTTTTTTTTTTCATAGATTTACAACGATCACTGTTTGGCCGTATGTTATGGCAGCCTCATATGGAAAGTTTAGAACTAGGACAAATAAAACGCCTGAAACGGCTTGCAAAGAATGAGAACAAAACGAGAAGAAATTCTGACTTTGTTCCAAGACCCTTAATCTCCGGTGTTTGGCTTGATGACCAATCATTGGCATAATGTACGCTGGTCCACGCCGGTTATTACGATTGAAGGGAGAGTCGAAGAGAGAAAGAGAAGAATGGCCATTTATTCTCCTTTGGAGGAAACCGGGAATTGATGGACGGCAAAGCTGAAAGTAGGGGACCCCATACAGAAAATTGGAGGAAATTATTAATACTTTTTAAGGGCATTTCCTTGCTTTCTTTCTTCGATTTACCGCGCTTTTTTCTTTTCTTTTGTTCTCTTTTTTTCTTTTCTTTGTTCTTTTCATTCCACAATTTACACTTTATTTATTTCTTCCTTTTCTTTCTTAGATTCCTTTTCTTTTTTTCTGTCCGAACTTCTTCCTCTCTCAACATATTTCCTTGTTAGCTAGCAAGAGAAATGATTGGTAAAATACATACAGATTCGCCAGAAATATATTTTAATTATCTATCTATCTATCTATCTATCTATCTATCTATCTATCTATCTATCTATCTATGTCAGTCTGCCTACCTACCTATCTATCTATCTATCTATCTATCTATCTATCTATCTATCTATCTATCTATCTATTCATTCATACTTGTCCCAAAATCGTTAATGCATATAAGCAACCCCAGTTAAAATTCGAACTTGATTCATGTTTTTTATGCCAAGTAAAATTTCTTTAAAGAAACCAATAAGAAGTCACACCCACACACACCCACACGCAATTACGCACATGCATATATATAGAGAGAGCGATACATATCTATATAGATAGACAGATGTACATATCTATATAGATAGACAGATGTACATATCTATATAGATAGACAGATGTACATATCTATATAGATAGACAGATGTACATATCTATATAGATAGATAGACAGATAGAGATAAATTTATATATATATATATATATATATATATATATATATATATATATATATGTAAATAAGCAGACTGAGATAGATCGATATATAGATAAACTGTCAGACGTTTAGAGGCATATCAACTCCTTATGGGTCATGTAATGCCGAAATCTAATTATTTTGTACGTAATCATATGCTTTCAACTATAGATATTTTGTAGATAATTATCTTGGTTTTCTCAGTTATACAAAGTCCACAATAGGCACATATTCGTGATATACTAACACCTTTACAAGCCAGAAAGAAGGACTAGAATAATCCGATGAATTGAAGTCCAAAAATGATTTATACATGGGAATGTTTTATATACAACACTTAAGGTTGGTTGGTTGATTTTTTTTTAGCAGCGTATCAACCTTTATGGGTTATTTAATGCCGAAATCTAATTATTTTGTAAGTAATCGTATGCTTTCAACTATAGATATTTTGTAGATAATTTTATACTTTCAGGGCAAAGGTATGTTCTTTACAGATCTTTGTAGATGGTAAAGTGTATTGTTGGTATTTTTTTAAATTGTATAGCTGGTAATGTTGGTAAATTTCTTTATACAAATGTATTGCTAATAATTTTACTATAAAAATGTATTTTATATATTTTTTTAAATGTATTGATTGACAATTTACTATAAAAATATATTATTGGTAATTCTACTATAAGAAGGTGCTGTTGATTTTTGTTTGAGGTTTCGCAATTTGTTCATATCTGAGACGAACCACACGGAGTCAGGGTGGACCTTGTAATAACAGCAATTAAAAGGTGGTTCCACGTTCCTCAAAACCTCTAACCAGAGGACATTCTGCCGGATGTAGTTTATCTTCAATCCCGGGATGAAACACTGAAACTTCCTTATATAAATCACCTAAGCTCTTCCAACTGCAAATATAAATCATATTGAGATGCAATCTCTCCCTACCTACCTCTCCCCTCCCTCCCAATCCCTCCCCTCTCTCTCTCCCACCCTCTCTCCCTCTCCCCTCTCCCTATATATATATATATATATATATATATATACGTCACAAATCAAAATTCAAAAATTTGTAAAAAAAGCAAGCAGTGGGTAAAGAGGAGAAATAAAAAAAATGTCTTACTTGTATGTCCACCAAGAATGACACGGTATTTTGTTTGGGGTTTTAAAACTTGTTCATATCTGAGACGAACTACACGGGGTCAGGGTGGACCTGGTAATAACAGCAATTAAAAGGTGGTTCCACGTCCCTCAAAACCTCTAACCACCCCATCCGAGGACATTCGCCCGGAGGTAGTTTATCTTCATTCCCGGGATGAAACACTGAAGGACGCAAATCTAAATCGGATCAACTCCTTATGGGTCATTTAATGTCGAAATTTAATTTTCTTGGGAGTATTATTAGTTTGTTTTGTTTTTTTACAAAAATGTATTGCTCGTAATTTTTATTTTTATCTTTTATAAAAAATATTGCTGGTAATTATTATAGAAATGTATTGAATTTTTAATAAAAAATTCTTATTCTTTCATTGTGTTTGATCCCAATGTAGAAGTTAAATATTTGCCCATAGCTGGGACCCTGCTATCACCCCGGATCATGCTGGACCTGGAAACAACAGCAATTAAGAGGTGGTTTTATGCTCATCAAATCTCCTGATCAGAGGCCTTACTGCCAGATATAGTTGATTGTCATACCCAGCACACTACAATGGACTAACGATGGCTGCTACTGATATAGTACCCTTTCTGAAAGGAAAGCTTCTCCTTACTAGGTTGGCATACGTTTTCAGAAATGCTTAATTATAACCTAAAAAGATCATAGAAATCGAAGATGAAAGACTGGAAGTACTCCAGCTATGCTTATAGGACAGGAGACGACATGAAAGAAAGCCTAGAGAAAATGGAATCAAACGGCGTTTAGAAAGAATTGAACAAAAATAAAGACAAGGCGAAAAGCAAGTTTGTTAATGTGCTTAAGATGTCAAGTGTTTAGCAAATGCATAAGTGTTGTGGTGTCTTCCTTCTAATGAAGCTATTGCGGACTCTTAAACTTACTATAAAGTAGTAGAAAAGTAAGCCTCGGGGAGGGTGAACAGTGATATAGACTGTTCTACTGGGGCTTTTCCAGATCCTGTCGAATTCTCTCCCTTGTGCGGAGAGGAACCACAACGAGGCTGTGCCGAAGGGCAGAGTTTCGTCCAGAGAGGTAGACGAACTCGAACCCGTTTATACGGATTCTACGGGGATTTTTTGGGCCGAGCCTACGGGCTCAGATGACCCACGTTAAACTCGGCCTTGTGCCACATATATCCCTCCTGGGGCGGGGGGCTGTTAAATATTAATGGTGATATAGATTGTTCTACCGAGGCTGTGACTGTTCGCAGCTCCTGTCGAACTCTCTGCTTTTGGCAGAGAGGAACCCTGACGAGGCTGTACCGAAGTGCAGAGTTTCGCCCAGAGAGGTAGACGGACCCGAACCCGTTTATACGGATTCTACGGGGATTTTTGTCCAAACCTACGGGCTCGAATGACCCACGTTAAACTAGACCTTGTGCCACATGTATCTCTCGTTGGGGAGGCTGTTAAATATTAACAGTGATATAGACTGAATGCTGGTCAACTGACACACACTCCCAAGTCGTGTAACACTCTTCTGTTGTATTTACTGTTCAATACACTATTTATCTGTAACATCTTGTTTTGTTATTTCTTAACCAATTAATTGGTCACAACAATAAGGTTAACAAGAATTTATAGATATGAAACATGGGTAGTAACAAAACCACTGTAAGAAAATAAAAGTGGGAAATGAACATTAGAGAGCAGATTAAAGATAGACAAAAAAAGTAGAGGTGAGGGGAACACATAACCAAAGCTTCTATATAGATATTTGCCCATAGCTGGGACCCTTCTATCACCCCTGGGGTTCTTCGCAGCTCCGATTAGATGGTCGTATTAAAGAATGATAGCTCAGTTCATGGGCTATCTTTACAAACGGAGTAAAATTCTGATTCCTTAATGCTTAATAACTTTTAAATTGAATAGGAATAGACCTTGTCACAGTAATCACAGAAGATTTTTCTAATCATTTAATCCAAAGCAAAGCAATAAAGCCACTAATGCGCAAGGGGGTTACAGAGTGTGAGAGAATATGAAAAAAAAGAAAACATTATGGAGAGAGAAAGAGAGAGAGAGAGAGAGAGAGCAATAAAAGAACAGGAATTACTTTTTTTAATCATTTCACCCCAATCAAGGCAATAAAGCCCCTAAGGCGCAAGGGTGGGGGGTTACTGAGTGTGAAAGTATATGAGAAAAAGAAAACATTATTCAGAAGGGAGAAGAATAAAAGAACAGGAATTACTTTTTTTAATCATTACAGCCTAAGCAAGGCAATAAAGCCACTAAGACGCAAGGAGATTAGTGAGGGTGAGAGAATATGAGAAAAAGAAAACATTATTAAGAAGAGGGAACAAACAAAAAAAGAACAAGAATTACTTTTTTTAATCATTTCAGCCCAAGCAAGGCAACAAAGCCACTAAGACGCAAGGGGTTACTGAGTATGAGAGTGTATTAGAAAAGAAAACATTATTAAGGAGGGAGAACAATAAAAAGAACAGGAATTACACTTTTTTAATCATTTCATCCCAAATAAGACAATAAAGCCACCAGGACGCAATGGCTTATATTCACACTTCTCTCTCTCTCTCTCTCTCTCTATATATATATATATATATATATATATATATATATAATTATTTATTTAAAAATATGATTCCAACTCGCGACATAAGAGGTCTCAGGTTTCAAAACACAAAAAAAAAATTCCAAAAAAAATTTCGCTTGAAGATGGAACAGAGCTTACTTTAACTCAATTTAATACAAATAATTATATTGAAGTTTTCGGCTCTTGTTTTGAAACATGAGACCTCTTATGTCGCAAGTTGGAATCATATTTTTAAATAAATAATTATATTTATGCTCTACTTTTGTATCGAGCACTATTTTTAAAAATAATAACTAAAATACTAAGGAACTTTTGGATTATTTACCTAACCAGTTCCTTCCTATTTTCTATATATTTTCACATATATATATATATATATATATATATATATATATATATATATATATATATATATATATAGTTAATGGTGGTTAAATTATACATTGCAAAGGAATATTCTCCCGTTTAGTTATTCACATGCACCTAATTTTTAAAATTCTCCTTTAAATATTAACCTGTAGATATGTATATAAATGCACCCACATAAATAAGTGAAAAGCTAATTTATGAAGCACATATATATCTGGAGTGATGCCAGGAAATACCAGATAATCTAAATCTCTAAATTATTGAATACCAATAAAGAACCTTTGGTTCAGGAAAAGTTGATCTGTGGTGACACCAGTCTGTATTGGTTCTACCCCAGATGATACCAAAATAGACTTTACACTCAGTATTAGCATTAAAGAAGCCGAATACATCAATAGTTAGATTTAGGAGATGAGGTCCTAGCCACCAGGTGACGATTTACGCCTTCACTGTATATAAGCGGCTATCCCCTAATATGTAAATAGGTTATCGATCCAACTGCGCTTAGAATGTGCACATGCAGAACAACCGATGACAGGACGATATATAAGCCCCCGACCAAGATGGAAAAGAAGAATAGAGACTTAAGAGAAGAAGAAATTATGTTTGGAGAAAGCCCCCTGA